AGCCACCAGAGCAGGAGCCTGTGAGCCAGCTCCCTGACCGGCTGCTGGACTGACTGTTTATTTGTGACTAAGCAGATCCCAGGCTGAAATGAGGGCAAAGGACCGCCCCTGCCCCCCGCCAGGTGCCTCAAACAGACAGAGTTACTTTCCTTATCCAAAAATGCCCCCTTCCCAATGAGGAGCTTATTAAAAGCTCAAAGAAGGAAGGAGTGCTCGAGGTCGCAAGCAGATAGAATGAAGACACGTGTACATCGTTACATACTGAATAGTCATTCACTTTATAATTCACTTGTTCTATTTGTATTACTACTTTTCATACATACACATGCTGCTTTTCCCCAGTGGGGGCTGTATCTAAAACATTCATTAATCGGTCGTTGTGGTTTAATTATATGCACTTCTGTGTATTGCGACACAAAGCCTCAGGAAGAAAAAGAGCGGTGGGCTTGAAATGCAATTTCTGGTAAGTGAATTTGTGCCTTATCTCAGCGTCAGAGATCTGGCGGATCAAGTGAAAAGTCCTGTGCCAATCATCATGATGAGCGTGACCGTGACAGGCCAAACATGAATAAAATGTAGAAATGCCTCAGTGCTGGATTCTCTCTGAAAATCTTTGTATCTTTCCTTAGACACGCTCATAAATGTTTGGTTTTGTTTCTTAAATGTTATTTTTAAATATTATTACAACTTGTGTGGTAATAAATATCATTCCCGTCACATGTCTAAACTTACCTAGCCATCTTTTCTTCTTTGAAGTGGCGGCTTTTCAATCAGAGTTTGGAGAATGTAATGTTTCTTAGAACTGTATCAGTAACATAAAACAGTAACAGATAATGAATGTCATTTCTACAGCGGTATGTCAAAAATGTAGTGAAATATAGAGATGGCATCCCTGAGTGTACTGAAACAGAAAGGTAAAAGGAGTGTAATGGATTGAGAGCTACAGATTTCTACACATAAACTATTGCATGGGGGTCCTCTTGGAAGTTACTGCTAGCTGGAAGGGTCTTCTGAGACAATCAGGATAAACCCCCTTCTTTTTTTTTTATTTTTTATTTTAAATTTTATTTTCCAGTTTAAATTTAGATAAGAATCAAGGTTGCTTCACAAGTCAGTTCCAGGTCCCTCTCCCATTCCCTCCCTTCCTCCCGTGCCCTCCCCCCCCCCCCCCCCCCCCCCGTTATCCTCTCATTTCTCCAGGGAGGGTGAGGCCCTCCATGGGGGTGTCCATAGTGTGTCATTTCATATAGGGCAGGGCCTAGACCCTTTCCCAAGAGTTCTGGGTGAGAGTGCACCTCACATTGTTCTATTGGAATCCAAAGTCCGTGTGTATACTTGGGATGGGTACTGATCTGCTGCCCAAGGCTCAATAGATTCCCTAGGCCTCTTCACTGACACCCAGATTCAGGGGTCTTGATCAGTCCCATGCTGGCTTCCCAGGCTAATGCCTGGGATTCAAGAGTTAACCTTTGTCTGGTCAGCTGTTTCTGGGGGTTAAACCAGCCCAGTCTTAATCCCTTTGATCCTCAGTCCTCCCTCTCTGTTACTGGCTTTCTTGAGTTCAGCTCAGTACTTAACCAAGGGAGTCTGCCTCTTCTTCGATCAGCCACTAAATAAAGTTTCTGTTTCCCAGACTCTCTGGCCATAGGATTGTAGGCTGGCACTCCCCAGATCTATGTCTATAATCCATATATGAGAGAGTACATGCCATGTTTCTCTTTTTGTGACTGGGTTACCTCACTCAGGATGGTTTCTTCTAGTGTCATCCATTTGCCTGCGAATCTCATGATTCCATTATTTTTTCTGCTGAATAGTACTCCATTGTGTAGATGTACCACATTTTCTCTATCCACTCTTCGGGTGAGGGACATCTAGGTTGCTTCCACGTTCTGGCAATTACAAATAAAGCTGCTATGAACATAGTGGAACAGACATCTTTGTTGTATGAATGGGCATCTTTTGGATATATGCCTAAGAGTGGAGTTGCTGGGTCTTGTGGTAGGTTTATTCCCATTTTTCTGAGGAATCTCCACACTGATTTCCAAAGTGGCTGAACCAGTTGGCACTCCCACCAGCAATGGAGGAGTGTCCCCCTTTCACCACATCCTCTCCAGCATAAATTGTCATTGGTGTTTTTGATTTTAGCCATTCTGACAGGGGTGAGATGGTATCTGAGAGTTGTTTTGATTTGCATTTCCCAGATGGCTAAGGATGTTGAGCACTTTCTCAAGTGCCTCTCAGCCATTTTAGACTCCTCTATTGAAAACTCTCTATTTAGTTCTGCAGCCCACTTTTTAATAGGGTCCTTTGGTGTTTTGGAGACTTGCTTCTTGAGTTCTTTGTAAATTTTGGAGATCAACCCTCTGTCAGATGTGGGATTAGTGAATATTTTTTCCCATTCTGTGGGCTGCCTTTTTGTCTTGCTGACTGTGTCCTTTGCCTTACAGAAGCTTCTCAGTTTCAGTAGGTCCCATTTATTAATTGTTGATCTTACTGCCTGTGCTACTGGTGTTATGTTCAGGAAGCTGTCTCCTGTACCAATTCGTTCAAGGGTACCACCCACTTTCTCTTCTAAGAGGTTCAGTGTGGCTGGATTTATGTTGAGGTCTTTGATCCATTTGGACTTAAGTTTTGTGCATGGCGATAGACATGGATCGATCTGCATTCTTCTACATGCCAGTCTCCAATTATGCCAGCACCATTTGTTGAAGATGCTTTCTTTATTCCATTGTATATTTTTAGCTTCTTTGTCAAAGATCAGATGTTCGTACGTGTGTGGATTAATACCCGGGTTTTCAATTCGATTCCATTGGTCTACCTGTCTATTTTTGTGCCAATACCAAGCTGTTTTCAGGACTATAGCTCTATAATAGAGCTTGAGGTCAGGGATGGTGATGCCTCCGGACGTTGCCTTGTTGAACAGGGTTGTTTTGGCTATCCTGGGTCTTTTGTTTTTCCATACAAAATTGATTATTGTTCTTTCAAGGTCTGTGAAGAACTGTGCTGGGATTTTAATGGGGATTGCATTGAATCTGTAGATTGCTTTTGGCAGGATTGCCATTTTTACTACATTGATCCTACCTATCCAAGAGCATGGGAGATCTTTCCATTTTCTGAGGGCTTCTTTAATTTCTTTCTTTAAAGATTCAAAGTTCTTACGATACAGGTCTTTCACTTGTTTGGTTAGCATTACCCCAAGGTATTTTATGTTGTTTGTGGCAATTGTAAAGGGTGATGGATAAACCCCCTTCTTATGAAGAGCTCTGACGTTCTCCCAGGAGACAGCAACCCTGTCTTGGGACATCCCTTGATCCTACATACCTGCCAAAACAGTGATCTGAGGGGTAGAGTGTGTGTGTGTGCGTGCGTGCGTGCGTGTGTGTGTGTGTGTGTGTGTGTGTGTGTGTGTGTGTGTGTGTGTTTCATGTCTGTGGATATTGCTTTCCGTCATCTTTGTGGGCCCTGGCTTATTAACTCGTTGGTCTCAGTTACTTTATTGAATTAATGTTTTTAGTTTTTGTGTTGAATGAATTCAACAAGTTATTATGTGTTGAATAAATATGCCTAAAGCTATTTTAAAGCTGGTCATCAGAACTCTTGAAGTGGTTTGTGAGATGGTCAGACATCAGTTGATATTCTACCAATACTGATAAATATATGAAAAACATGAAGATTTGGGATGGGGGATAAATCTCAAGATACATTTTGAGGCACTGGATCTTATGGAAGCATGGTAGAGTTCATTCTAAATATGCAGTTTAAAATTCGTTCATCTTCTAAGACTGAGAGTCAGATCAGTACCAAGAGTGATTTTTGCAACTGGGCTGTAGCTATGACTAATGGGATTTATCCTGAATTTGCTAGTACTAGCAAGATGCTCCTCTGGGGAAACTATAGCTCCAAAGATGTTTGTAGGTGGTTAGCACCACATTCTTGCTTTCTTCGGGACAAAGAGATGACTATCATGGGACAGCCTTAATGACCAGGGAAGGCATGGTGGAGAGGAGTGTGTTCAAGGACCAGCTCCCACCAACAAAGGGAGCAGCTAAAGTCTGGCGTGTTCCTCCTTCAGTGGGAAAGCACTCCAGTGAGAACACTAACCCACTAAGGAATCGCACTGCATTTGAAGGTTGATTTTAGTTGATTCATTTTTTTCAAGAGTCCTTTGCCACTTAAACTCTTCCAGGTTGAAAAAGTCCTAAATACAGTTCCAATATCCTGGAGCCTGTGGAAAGCACATTTCTTTCAATAGGCAAGCCATACCTGCCTTCACCCTCCTTGTGACCTAATTCACCTGGGCCCTAGTTTGCTTTAATCTTCCTTCAGGGATTTCCCTTCTAAGGGATTAAACTTTCATTACACCAAGCATGACTAGAGCAGTGGAGTGGAAGCCTGACTCAGCCAAGGATACTTCTGCCTCTCTTTTTTTTTTTTTTTTTGATAGCCGTCAGGGTCTCCTTATAGGTAATCAATAAAATACCATGTGGCAGAAAGGATTGGGAAACAAAATGAGCTGTGCTCTCACAATTTACAGCTAGACTTCCATTTAGTAATGTGGACTCACCACCCTTCTCTCTTCCCTCCCACACCACTCCCCCTCCCTTTCTCCCCCCCCCTGAACCAACAGCTAACAATTCTTATAGTCTGCCCTCAAGTTTTTCAGAGTAGTAAGAGCTGCAGAAGACAGATAAGCCCACAGTGCTCACAAGCGACTACTAGGATGCTGGAAACCTTCAGTACCGCCTGGCAGAGTCCTGGTGCGGTGCTCTTTCTTCAGCTGAAATTGGTCCAGTCTGCCATGGAAATGGTGACAGATACGGCAATCTGTGATGGGTACCCAAACCCAGTGTTGACCATTCTGATGCGCATGCTTCTGGGTGACCCCTTTGCAGCTCACTAGAAATCACACACGGCCCAGGCCTTGACAATTTCTTATGATCCATAAATTCGGTGATGAGTCTTTTAGAATCCTGACCATGCTTCTTCTGCCTTTGCCACAGGAGGTGTGTGCCCAGGGTCCAGTGATCCCTGTGTGGAGAAGCCATGTCCGGAGGACATGCAATGTGTGGGTTACGAGGCCAGCAGGAGACCATTTCTCTGCCAGTGTCCACCAGGAAAGCTTGGAGAGTGCTCAGGTACAAGGTGGTATGGACAAGTCAGGGTTGGATCTCCTACTCTTGTAACATTTTCCTTGTGTGAAGGACTCTGCCCAGGTCCTTCCAGAAAACACATGTATGTGCATACAACACTTACTATTGGAATAGCAAATGGCCTGTGTTCACCCTAATGTTTAGTTGAGATGTGTCACAGCCAGTCCGTGCTAATGAGATAGGAAGACAGAGCCTCTTGGGTAAAGTGGAGGCCATATCATGGGTCCACAGTTTTGTTGCATGGCAGATTTGAGTGTGAAGTTATGGAAGACAGAGTGTTGCTTTATGGACAGAGAGCCTCAGAAGGCTGCACAAATCTGTAGCAAAAACGAAACAAAACATAACAACAACAACAACAACAACAAAAACCCAGGCTAACAATAGATAGATCTGAGACAGTCTCTTCAGTTTCCCATAGAATAAGCCCAGCCCTGAACACCAAGTAAGCCAACTCTTCCCTGCTTGAGATGTCCACCTTTGCATCTTAAAGAAGAAATATCAATATTTACATCATTTCATCCAAGTAATCTTCTACTTCTGATCTCCACCCAACTTAACATTTTTAACCACTTATTCCATTTCTTTCCCTTTATTTTCTCTTCTTTTTTTTCTAAAAGTGTCTTCATTTGCTACATCAGTAGGATCATCTTTTGTAATAGGGCACACCGATACAAATTTTGTTACTATTTCTTGTTAACACACACCCAGCAGCATGGCTGTGGGTGATGATTAAGTTATGCAAATGATGATAATCATAGTAGTAATCGTGGGAATATGAGCTATCATGCCTGATGTATAAAGCACTTTGCTGAACAAGGGGTTTTAGAAGTCCAGCCTTTGCAAAGAGAAGTCCTATTATAAAAATGGGAACCAAGCTTCACAACGGTTTATGTCCAGCACAGACATGCCCATGAAATGAAGGGAAAACCAGGAAGCTTGAGTGGGTCACTGAGGTGTCCCTACCCCAACGCGCATGTCATGCACACAGCATCCCTTTCCACCAGCTTCCAAACAGAGAACTTGTGATTGACGATAACAACCACCCTTTTGCTTTCTTCCCATTCTCTCTGCTTTTCGCTCTACAAGCCTATTGATCTGTTTATGGCAAACATTGTGTTGGAGAAAATGTTAAGAAATTAAAAAGAGGGTTAATTCAGAATCAGGTAAGTTCAGAATCAGGTGAAGTGAGTTGGACTACATTTAAATCCAGGAGGCTAAGTCTTGGGGAGTTATGTCTAAGAAGGGGTAGCTTCCTGGAGAAGCCCACAGCTCCATAGCTGTGCTGTCCAGTGTACCTTGCTTTCCTCTGAAAACCCTTTTTCTCCTAACCTTCGAGTTTAAGCCTATACTTTTTTGGAGAGAGAGAGGGAGAGACAGAGACAGAGACAGGGACAGAGACACAGAGAGAAAGCGAGCCTAAGAAGGGAAGCCTTGTAGTTACTGGTTAGCAAATGGAACCGTGACAGCAGAGGGCCTCCATTCTTCAACAACGGACACCAGTGGCGCATTGGTATTAGGATACCTGAAGAGTACAAGCATTTCATGACAGTAGCTTCACTGCCTTTTTCTTGATTCACAAAATTGAAAAATCTTTTTAATTTTATTTTTCCACTATGAGGGATTGACTTAGGACCTTATGCGTGCGAGGCAAGCACTCTATCATCCAGCTACAGCTTTCCTTTGCTTTTTCATTTTGAGAATAAGTCATCCAGGGTGACAATGAACTCACTTTCTCATCGAGGCAGGCTTGAGAGCCTCTTGCAGCAGCCTCTGCTGGGATTTCTGGTATGCACGGCCTGACCCATCCACACTCTTACATGTCTAAGGGAAGACAATGGTGGGGGCCAATCAAATGATATCTTTTAATAATGCTGAGCTTGGAAAGAGGGCGTTGAGAATCTAATGATCCTAAGAAATGGAGTTTACCAAGTTGCTCTGAACATGAGACAAGAGGGACGATTTTGGTAGCTGACTGGTTAATAATGTAATGATGTAAAATTGTGAGGCAGCTTTAATTAAGACCCCTGGGCTCCACCCTTAACTTCTGTGGTCTGTAATCAGTTTTCCTGGTGTGTGTGTGGGGGGGGCTTCATAGTTCCCTGATTATTTCTGGATTTTAAAAGGACACTTTTGCTATCGGAATGGTCTTTTCAGGACACACTTCTCTCAGCTTTGCTGGAAACAGTTACATCAAGTACCGGCTTTCTGAAGATAGCAAAGAAGAAGACTTCAAGCTGGCTCTGCGCCTGAGAACCCTACAAAGCAATGGGATCATAATGTACACCCGGGCCAACCCCTGCATGATTCTGAAGGTTTGTGAAAGGGGCTGCATTCTCCTGCAATTCTTCTCTTGTTGTTAGTTATCTGACATTATTGAGACAGTCTTACATGGAAGCCCAGGACAACTTCAAACTCAAAACCACCCTCCTGCCTCAGCCTCTCGGTGCTGTGATTGTGGCATGAGCCACCACACCCCACCCACAATCATTTCTAATTATGGCTACATTCACTATTAAATTGGAAGACACTGAAGTTATTGTCTTGCTAGTTTAGAAGTCCAGAACAGACTTCAGGACAAAAGAGAGCGCAACCAGGTTGAAAAGTGTGCCAGCATCCTTTGCTTTAGTTGTATTTTAAAATTGGCTGGTGGAGATTTGATGCCTCCCCATAGAAAGGGCTTGAATATGCACCTCTGTTACATTCCAATCACTCTGTAGTTTATTGGGACAAATGTCCCTATTAATTCCACGATAAGGCTAATCCTTTAACAGGCTGACTGTCCATGTTCACCGTATGCTGTCTCCACACTCTGGCTAGCTACACTGTCAATCAGGGGGAAGTAAGAGATGTTGGGCACAAATATTCCACATATCCTATCATGACCCAAGCCACCCAATTTTTAAATTATTTCCTGACCTCAGAAGTTCACCTAAAGCAGCCAGATTTTCTTTAAAATAAATCCGGCATTTGTATGCAACTTGGGGCTTCTAGTGCCTTCGTGATTACACTAAGAATACGAGCAGATGTACCTGCATCTTTCTAATTTCAAATTTAATACAAATCTGCTAAGGACATGTTATCCCCACTTACTTGATCAAGAAGAACAACCCAGAGAGTTTCATATATTCTCCCAAGGTTGCTTAGTTACTGAGCGGTGAGACCTGACTCACAGTACAGTGTACCCCACCCTGTGCTCTTCCCCTCCAAGCGCCCCTCTGCTCTCCTTGACATTCCAGCCCGAATGACCACAGATTCCATCCTGCACATCTCTAGACCAGACCTAGCTTTTGTGTCCAGGGATAGAGACGAGCAGAAGAGTGTGGGAGGGTGGGCTCCTCCTGGCCTACCCTTGGGGGTTTTGGTTCAGTCTATTATCCACTCTATTATTGCCTGTGCTCTTTAGAAGTCTTCAGAGCTAGCCCAGTGAAAACTGACCATCAAACAGGAACAGCTAGGAATGTAGGGAAGGAGCCTTGTCAGAGCCGTTGGGCCTGGTGCCTCTGGTCTTTCCTGTTCTCTCTCAAGCTCTAATGGACTACTGTAATACCAATGACTGCTGTTAGATAATCTCCGTATGGCACTAAACCTAAGATGGAGCTGAATATCAAATCAGGGTGACTTGATCCTAGATCGAATCTTGCTGTTTGCCCATCACTGGCAAGTGTGCTGCCGGTGCATCTCTCTGGGGACAGAAAGGTAGGGTAAACCCCTGAGGAGTCACCACACAGATGGATGGTACCTCACGACACAAATGTGTTTCTGGAATTGGATAATTGGATTCCTAAAGGTGAATTCCAATAATCTAAGGGCGGTTGCTCTTTGAAAGGACTCTCTGTGAGCACCTTGGTGTTGTGGACCATCACTGCCCTCTCTCTGATGATTTTACATGTTGGGTTTGCCGAAAGCAGGAGGCAGCTATATGTCCACCTGTGTAGTAGACTTGCTGAACGCCGAGCCTCGTGGGAGATTTGATCTCATTGGTTTAGTTACAGGATGCACTTTGTGCTTTGCTCTGGCCACTAAAAGGAAATACTGGCCTAAACTGCACCTCCTGGTTCCCAGCATTTTTCAGGCAGAGTGTGTTCTGGAAAAATGTGTTTTAAACAATCAAGGGGCAGAGGGCATCCTCTGGCAACTGGTAGAGAGTTGCATGGTGGTCAAGAACAACAAAACCATTTATGAACACAAGTGTCACTGTAGCCTGGCTGCAACAAAAAGCCCTTGTCTTTCTGTCCCCCATTACTACCCCGGCTCTAGCAGAGACTTGGAACGTACCATAAACACACAAATGCAATAAAAATCTAAGCACAATTGACATGAAAATAAAAGGTTACAATGTAATCAATGAAGCAAAAAGAAAAAGTAAAATATCATGATCGGAAAAAAAGCATAGAAAACATATTAGTTGAGCACAAACACCCACTTCTGAGCTTCCCAGCAAAACCAAAGCCAAAGTGTAAGAAGGGGCTGTGACCCCTCCATGCCTGTTAAAAGCAAAGCGTCAGATATCCAGGGCAGACACAAGGACAAAACACGGCAGCTCAGAGTGCTGGCATCAGACCTTTTGGCATCAGCCGGAAAAACAGACGGAAACCTTGGTTGCTAATGTAGAAATGTTCTTAAATATAAAAATATTTAGGGATGTGGTATGTCAACAAGATCTTTAATCAGATTATTTTCAGACTTGGCTTGATACCCTAAAACTTAAAAAAAAAAAAAAAAAGACAAGGCACGTTTGTTGATGGTATGGACAGGTCTTTCCATCACGGACTGCATCTATCTCTTGATTCTTACCCCCTCCCTAAAGGCAGTGCCCATGTCTGCCTGTGAGACTTCTAAGACTTGAAGGCAATCACAGACCTCTTTAACAAGTAATAACTACCCTACACTGAGTGTGGCAGATGAGCAGGTTAGGAACACTTCAGTCAGCAAGAGGACCATCTACCCATTTATTTTTTTTCTTCATCCAATTATTTTCTTAAAGGTACCCCACATGTCTGAAACCCATTAAGTGGCTTTGAAAAGACATGACTGAAGGGTATTCTTTCCAGAGATTACTTAATGACCCATGTGATGATTGTTCTTAATTGAGAACTTGATTAGATTTAGAAGTGCTTGGGGGCCGGGTGAGGCACACATCTAGCTATGGCCTTGAGAGGCTTCCAGAGACTATTACCGGAGAAAGAAGGGCCCACCTTAAATGTGGGTGGCCCCTTTCCAACTCCACGTTTCTTCTGTTTCCTGGCCACCAAGGTGGGAACTGTCCTGTTTCCCTGTCGCGCCCTGCTGGATGGGATGGACTGGGACCCTGGAAGGGCAAACTGAAGACTACATCCTCCCCTATGCTATTTCTGTAAAACACTTTGGTCATAGCAGTGATAAAGTTAACTAACACAACCCTCTGAACCCCACAGAGACATTCACTATGGGTCCAAAGCAACAAGACTCATAATTTAATCATTTCTACTCAAAATCCTTTCCTGTGAAAATCACTTCTATGGATCTATCTGATTTCTTATCTCCTAGTGCCCAGTCATTGAAAACTGGTCAAAGAACAATATTGATTTCACACAACCCCCCTGAAGATGTAGATGTTTTATAATATGAGGGCATCTATCTTTTTCTGAATTATCCATATAATTGAAAAAAATCACCCACTTGTCCAACCGATAAGCCATTCCAAGAGCATGGGAACAGGCGTTTAGCAGCTCAACACATGTCAGTCGCCACTGCAATGTCTCACTGGTGCTCTGATTTGAGGAAGTTCAGCTTTTACAAAGAAAAATACTGTATAACTTGACAGACAGAGAAAAATTAACTACTATCAGAGTATCGTTTTCCCATGTGAAGACGACTCAGATGCTCACTCCTCGGGGAAGGAAGTGCTGCTTTACCTCCCTGGCACAGCAACAGCATACTTACTACAGGGTGACTTAGGGCACCAATATTCTAGAGTGCCATAGCAACAAGCCGTGGTTCAAAATGCCTAGAATCATAAAGATGCAGTGAAGAGAAGAAAAGGTGAAAGCTGTGGGCACCTGCCTTCTTTCACATGCTGCTGCTGTTGCGTTATAAAAGGAGGGGAAGTTCACAGGGGATAATTTCCGTCCCTTAGCTGAAGGGTTTTGAAGTGATGGGGAAGGGAATGAACCAAGTAGTATGTTGATGGAACACTTGCATGGACTGCACCTTCACCACCAGATTTTCCATGACAGACTGGGGACAATGTTTCCTAGCCGTGGGGCAAAGCCGCAGACGGGCTGCTGCAGAAGGTGTCTCCGAAGCCTTATCATATCTCTTCATTACTTACGCTCAGATACAGGTGTGGGTATTAGCTGTGCACCGTCACTAAGCAAGTTTGCTGTAACTTACAATAGCCATTCAGTCTATTTTGCTAAACAACAACAAAAAGCAGCAATTGCATATGATTGTAGGTGAGAGCTCTCTGGAAATAAACCTGTTTTCAGCCCTTTCACATGTAAGCACGTATATTACAGAGCAGTGTGTGTGTATGTGTGTGTGTGTTTACACTCATGAGTGCACACACACCTCGTGTGTGATATGGCCAGAACATTCTGCAGCAGATGCCATGGCATATCTCTCTGTTCTCCACACCCAACCCCACTCAGGTAGAACCTTGCTTTACAGAGAGCAGGATGGTACAGGCAGACTTGGAGTTAACCTCTTCATTCTCTGCCCTGCTCTCTAGGTTCCCAGTGTTTTGGGAACATGAATCTTTGACCTTGACTTGCAGGTGAGAAAATCCATGGAGTCACAAAGCAGGCATGAGAGTCACTGTGGATTACTTGACTGTGGACCTTTCTGAAACAGAATGTTTGTGATGATGAGTGTTCTGTAGAAGCCACTGGTTCTTTCGCAAGTAAAACACACCGTGCAAAGACCAGCTTGGCTCATTTCTACAAATTCATTTAATTTCTATAGTGCTGGTGTCCATGCTGGCCTGTCGTTTTCATTCTTACTTTCTACTTTACTTCTCTTGATGAGAGTCTATGCTATGCACAGAAACAAAGGTACCAGCACCTCTCAGAACAGACAGACCACCCAGCCCACTCACAGCTGGTACACTGGCCACTGCAGAATCATTTTCTAGATATAAAGGTTTCTGTCTCACAGTGCCCAGCTGTGAATACCTTAGTGGCCAAATTTAAGTTTGGCTACATGGGGGGCTAGCACTTAATCCCTCAGTCCTGATGCCACATAGCATTTCTAAGAAACGCAGTCCAGAGTGGAGCAGCAAGTGTCAAAGGCCATTCCTCAAGAGCGGGGGAGCCTGGGTCTGTATGGATTTTGAAGTTGCCCATGCTGTCTGGCAGCTAGGATCCTTCAGTGGTGTCCCTTTCTCACCTATGGGCAAGGATCCCTGGTGTTAGCCTCCAGTAGATGTGGTGGACACCCTGTCTAACGCAGGCAAATCTCCTCTATAGCCCCCGATGAGGGATTGGAACATCCCGAAAGTGCAGACAGCTGACCAGAAGTTTCCTGTTGTTAAATATACATAAGCTCTAAACCGGGGGTGACCAACTCCCAGTCATTGTGGCCTAGTATAGTTGTGAATGCATTTCAACACAAAATTATGAACTCGCTTAATGTTATTAGATTTTCTGTGATTTTTCACTTAATTGTGCAGTTCCAAAGTATGAACTTCATACTTTTATAGATGACAAAATTCTGTTCCAAGGTTTGTATTCTTTTGCAAACCATGTAGTGGGATGAGTCAGACACCCATGGGATTTTATATGTGGCCCAAGATAATCCCTCTTCACACAGTGCGGTCTAGGGAAGACAAAAGGGTAGACACCCCTGCCGTATGCAGCAGCCAAGCCTGAATACTCTGGGTGTGCCTCTTGTCTCTATGGTGAATGGTGTAAGAAACGGCGGATTTAAGTATGACATCAGTGGCATAGAGAGTGTAATATTCAAAATATGCACAAGGCTGGGCACCAGGAAGCGTTTGCTTCTATCTGGCCTCTTTTCTCCCCTATATCAGACTCTCGCAAACTTATTTGGGAAGTATGTGTGTATAGATTTAACATGTAACTCTCTCCTGCACTGGACTAGTGAGCCCCAGAGGACAGGGTAGATCAACTTTAGCCTATTGCCTAACCATATGGTGGGTGTCCAGTTATTATTGGTGAGTTCATGGAAATAATTCCTGTGATAGAGAGGATTAAAGAAACAAATGAGATATCGCAGTGGGTATTAAAGGGGTGGGCGATCACTGATAGAAACTTACTTTTAAAAAAAGATTTATTTATTTATTTATTATGTGTACAGAGTTGTGCTTGCATGTATGCCTGCAGCCAGAAGGGGGCACCAGATCTCATTACGGATGATTGTGAGCCACCATGTGATTGTTGAGACCTGAACTCAGGACCTCTGGGAGAGCAGCCAGTGCTCTTAGCCACTGAGCCACCTCTGCTCTGTGAGCTTCCTGGCTTTCCCTATGATCAGTAGCCGGAAGACCTGAGAAGCGTCAGGCCTGTATTTTCCTGGCAGACTGTGGAGGGCTTAGTTCGCACAGATGCAGACTTAGGCCTGGATGGAACATCTGCCCTGTTGGGATCACAGTGTTTTGAAGCTAGCTAGACTCATGACGGCTCTGCGTTTCTTCCCGTGCAGATTGTGGAAGGCAAGCTGTGGTTCCAGCTGGACTGTGGCAGCGGCCCCGGGATCCTGGGCATCTCCAGCCGTGCCGTCAACGACGGGAGCTGGCACTCGGTCTTCCTGGAGCTCAATCGCAATTTCACCAGCCTGGCCCTGGACGACAGCTATGTGGAGCGGCGCAGGGCGCCCCTGTACTTCCAGACACTGAGCACCGACAGTGCCATCTTCTTTGGTGCCCTCGTGCAGGCGGATAACATCCGCAGTCTGACGGACACTCGAGTCACGCAGGTCCTCGGTGGCTTCCAGGGTTGCCTAGACTCCGTGGTACTTAATCACAACGAGCTGCCCCTCCAGAACAAGCGCAGCAGCTTTGCCGAGGTCGTGGGGCTGACGGAGTTGAAACTGGGCTGCGTGCTCTACCCGGACGCATGCCAACGCAGCCCCTGTCTGCACGGGGGCAGCTGCAGCGGCCTGCCCTCTGGCGGTGAGTGCACATGTTTACAAGCGTGTAGGGAAGGGAGGGCATGCACCTGTCTGAGGCTGATCCTCACAATCCCACACACCTTCCCGGGACCCTCCCGGAGAGGATGCTCACCCACTTTGTACTGTGCGGCAGAATCTTGACAGTTGCACGCTATCCAGGTTCGCCAGTAACTGGATGCCAGACTGCAGATGCAACCACCTCTTCCCTGCACACCCGACACCCTTCCAGACTTCAGCTCCCTGTAAGGTGTGACTTCAGGAGCCACCTGCTGTCACTGCAGAAGGCTGCCTGGTGTCACTGCACTGAGTAGAGCTGCTAACCAGGCTCGGATGTAGCTTTACCAGAAACTAAAGTGGGGGGCAGGGGGAGTGAACGTGCCTGCCTCGGAAGAGAACCAAGGGCTAGGGGTCTTTGGAGCATGCTTTTAAGATGTGTCTCAGAAATAGCTCAACTCTAACAAAGATGCAAAGCATCAAAATAAAGGAGTGGGAACCGGGGATACCTCAGTCGGTCGGTGCTGGCCTTGCAGGGGTGAAACTCTGGGTACCATATATTAAAAGCTAGACGTGGTGATGAGCACCTGTAACCCCAGCACTGGGAAGGTGGAGACAGTTGACCCTTGGGGCTCAGTGGCCATCCCGTCTAGTCTACATGGCGGGTTCCAGGCTGGAGAAGACCCTGGCTCCAAAGCAGAAAAGATAGGAAGGATCTGAGAAATAGCCCCTAAGGATATCCTTTAGCCTTTACACCCTCCTAACCACACATGAACACACACACACACACACACACACACACACACACACACTACATGGAGATGAAAATACACAGAGAATCTCAGGAGGGGAGCCAGTCAAGGGTGGGAACAATGCCTGACATCTGAGAATTCCCTGCCTCACACAGGGGCTGTGTGGTGGTCCTCTGGGTCAGGCTTCCTTCTGTCAGCATCCTGCCTCCTCTCAGCAACCCTGGCTGGCCCCCTCCAGCCGCTCTGCAGATCTACCCAGCAGCCATCTGGGCAGTGGATGTAACCGCTCTCCACCGTCACTGAGACCGCGCGGCATTAGCATCTACTTTACATGCAGCCTGACTCCAAATTTAGAGTCCATTTTATTATTAGGACGTTATAAACTGTCCACGGGATGACGTGGTGCGGGAACTCAGACTGCAAAGTCGTTCAGACTCACATATGTCACTGTCACAATGAGGGCCCAGGGCCCTGGGGGGAAGTTTCTACAGTCTCGACTTAAGAAATCTATTTGCTGTTTTTACTGCCTCAGCAGTATATGTAAATAAAGGGCGGCTATGGCTCCACAATTCCCGAATGATGGGCAGTGACTCTCCACTAGCTGTTCTGTAAACCAGCCTCTCATGACAAATCATGGCCAGTTTTCCATGAGGAGAAAAAAAAAAACCCTTCTACCAGTGCAAGCCACTGACAATATATGAAAGGGCCATATAATTAAGTTGGGTTGAAATGGAACACCACGCCATGTCAAATCCTGGGTACGCAGCCACAAATTATAATATACTTTAGCCATGTCAGAACATTGTTTTTCCTGGCAAAACTGTGGTCCTCCTGGAGGGTTATCTTTAAAATAATAGGCACTGAACAAAGGGGAATCTGGCTCAGCAGGGTACACTTTTAACTGCCACAAAATCCTTTAGATAAGTACCCAGAGCAGGTATGTTATATAACTAAATGGCTTAGGGCCCATCTGAGAAACACCAGGTTTTTTTCTGTTTTGTTTTGTTTTGAAGGCAGGGTCTCATATATTCTAGGGTATTCTAGGGCAGCTTCAAACTTAATCTGTAACCAAGGATGGTTTTCGGTTTTTTGCTCTTCCGGTCTCTGCCTTCCGAGCACTGGGATTCCAGGCATCACTCAGTGTACATGGCACTGGGGATCAAAGGCAGGGAGGGCCTTGCGTGTTCCACCAACTGAACGGCATGTCCACGCCTTCCTATACCGCTGCCGTACCCTCCCTAAGGGCCGGAAGTACTGTACCTTGTGCAAGCCATCTCCCTTCGCCCCCCCACCCCGTGTTCTACTTCTCTCTGTGATAGCGTTGAGTCCGGGTTCCTCAGCTCCTCTTCCTTCCAAGATGAGGTAGCATCTCGTCAGCCCTGATCTTCTCTTTGCTCCTAAACACATATGCTTTTCCAAAGTGATCCATGCATTCTCTGTCTCATCTCTTTATATCACTCCCTTGCCGCAAGCCCGCTACCCTGCTGATGTGAGGGGGCCCCGCAGGGGCAGCCATCCCACAAGCCTCTCCCAGCCTGGCTGAGAGAGCCTGGTTCTGGAAGCATGGCTCTGGGTGGAGCAACCACCACCTAATTAGAATGCCAGAGGTCCTCCTTCGGTGTCTGAGGAGGGACCTTCAGGCTTGCTGGCTGTAAAGATGAGGCCTCAGCCTCAAGGAAGAAGCTCTATTTTCTTATCCCCATTTTCTATTATCATCACAGGCATTGAAAAGGACTTAAGGATGTTTGGCGTTTGCTTTGTTTTGTTTAATGTGTATGGCTGTTTGGCTATGTGGATGCCTGGTGCCTAAGGAGGCCAAAAGAGGGCATCAGACCCCCTGGAACTAGACTTACAGCAGTTGTTAGCTGCCGTGGATGTTGGGAATAGAACTTGGGTCCTCTGAGAGAGCAGCCAGTGCTCTTAGACACTGGGCTATCTCTCCAGCAACTTTCAGGGGCACTTTTGTCATGTCCTTGTCTCTCCTGCCTGACAAATCCCTTTTGCCAAATTAGGAGGGTGGGTTACAAGAAAGGAATGAGCCAGAAGTCAGGCCTCTGCTTCCTACTTATGGAACCATTAAATTAGTCATAAAGTTACTTACAAGGAACACCCTCCTTAAAGCATGGTGAAATGAAGTAGAGCCACACCCTCAACTCCTTCTGAATGCCAGGGTCTTGGGCTCCCAGATAGGAAGCTAGGATGCATGCAGTGTTCCAAGAGGACAACCGAGTTAGACTGCGGTTCTTAGAGGCAAGCACATGACAATCTGACAGCAGAGTCCATTGGAACATCAGCCTGGCTGTTTTGTGGCCTTATTTCTTTTTAACTCTCTCTTGTGGATCACTGTAAAATACAAGGACATGATTTACCATCACTGTCTCCTTGATCATGGAACAATACTGGAGGACTGATTGGTGGATCTCCTGGTAACACACTCCATTCTCAAACTGCGACACGTTGCTCCAGAACATTAACAATCTATAAAGTAGTCAACCCACAGCAAGAAACACTTCCTTTCAGGATTCCTCCCCAACTACCCCAAACCAACCAAAACCTTGGCACAAGGACCAAAGAGTTGCATCTACCAGCCTGGAATAGCATAGTCAGCAGCTTTGACCAGCCTTGTAATTCTTCTTGCCCAAGAAGCAGTCCTCAGGAACCCCAGAGCAGTCAAAGCACAGAGTGTGAGCTTGTAACATGATTCTGTGCATCAACCCAACCACAGAAAGAAAGCTCCCCCTCAGTTTTTAATATATATATATCACAAACATGACCTGGAAAAAACAACCACCATGGAGAAGAACTGGATGGGACCCATTCTGACCCTTCTATTTTCAGAACCATTGGGTGGGGCATGGGCCAGTGCCACCCACATTCTGAATAAGATGGGCTCAATTCACCATGCCTCATCATGCTCAACTCAAGACAATTAAGAGAAAACGCCATGGAAACTAAGCTGTAATTTAGTGAAGCAATGCACCAAGCCATGCTGTCCCCAGGCCAAAAGCAATCACTCAGACAGCTTTGCATGAAACTGGAAGCTTAAATCCTGAAAGCAAACCTTGGTGGATTTTCCATGGTCAGAGATACTGGTTTGAGTGTACACAGTACTAGAGCATTGCCTACCTTGCAAACGCATATATACTAAGGCATTTGATTTCTCAACACTCTGGGAACAGTCTTCCCTTCTACCACCCTCTCCCATTTTACAGATTAAACCAGCCAGCAATGTTAAATAAGAAGTCTAGCATATACCTGGGAAAGTGTGAAGCCATAACTTTACTCCCTGCTCTACTCGTGTGTCCCAGGACAGGCTACTCCATCACTGAGACACATCCGAGATCCCACCTGAACCTGCTGCTTCAGTCTGCACATCAACAAGCCCCCTAGACAATGCTCTGATTTCACCTTCTGTCTCCAAGGTGCCCTGGAGTCTGGGGGAGCTTCTAGCTCTTCTCTCCCACTATGTTATAGATTGTGGTTCTCCAGCTCTGAGATGCATCGGATCACTCGAGAAAACTGTTTGAACAGGGTCTTGCTGTTGAAGAATCTCTTGACTGTTCGTTTAAAAGGAACTGCATTTGCTCGTTGCTGGGTAACCAAATCATGCCTGCAAACTCCTGGATGTTTCATCAACAGAGATTCAAGGGCAGTGGGGCAAGAACATAAACCCCAAGAGTCAGAATCTACCGGAATTCAGGCATCTCTGTATTAACAAGGCAGGTTCTGTGCACACTCAAGCTTGAGAACCACTAACACTACAGGATCCTAGGAGTTTTATAGCTACAGGAATGCAGTCTGGAGTGCCAGGAGACGTATACAGACACAGGACATGGGAAGGGGTTGAAAGTGAGATGAACAAACCTGGAGTGTCACTCTCTTGTCAGCAAAATCAGATTACCCTGAGATCTTCGAAGATCAAAAGGATGTATGTATCTGCCCATCTTACGAGCAGCAAAATTGAATAGTCTACCTATCAAGTTGCATGATGGGGCTCTTAGATGTTTCAAAGAGAGGGACACAGATGTGTCCTTGGAAACAAAGCCCCTTTTGCTACCTTGGACCCGGCTTTTGTGGAGTATTTAGTTCCCCTTCCTGTAAGAATCAGGAAGTTCAGTCTGTCAGACTTTATCCAGTGGCTGCATTGTGCTGACCCATGCATGTTAAGTCCCAAGTCTCACGGCTGTTTTCGTAACCAGCTTCCCCTCCTGATCCACATGTACTCCATTGTTGTCCCACTAAGCAGAGGCAAAAG